GAAATATTTACAGTTTTTTTAGTTTACCTATGTAGAGACCTTGGTAACATATCACGCTTTCAATATGACATTTTTCTTGAATACGTTACTGCACTTCTCGTTTAAAGATATATCTGCAAGTTCGAAAGTGTATATACATTTCGATATACTGAAATTTTACTTTTACTTTTACTTTTAGATTATCCTGCCGTTTGTTGCTTTACTGATTTTTTATTCTCATATAAAATTCTGGTTTACTTTAGCATTTATACAGCTAGCTTTTTAAACTTGGATCGTTTTACTTTAGCTTATCCATTCACCTGATATTTAAATACATCTATATATAATTTGAGACTTTACTTGGTTTGAGTTCGGTTTATGGTGGGGCACCTACAGTATATAGGTAGGTTAGTATTAAAACTTCTATAACAATTCAAAGCAATAATAATAGTTTGGATAATAACCATTTTTCATATTACCACAAACTTTATGCAACTCAAAGTGAGTAGTTTACATAGCTTAATTAATTTATAAATGATACACATATTAGAAATTCAAAAACCAAAACCTACAAAGAAGCAATCATTTTCGACTAAAAATGAACCAAAACGAAATGAGAAGAATCGGTGGTAATCAACTAAACTAAAGCTTTTCTTAAAGGAGATAAGAAGAAACCAGAAAGATTTAAAATATACTGTGTCTTTCTCAGCAAATACTTTCAGATCGATGCTGCCAACGATTTGGAACGAAAAGCTGTATCTTTTTCGGCATCTGAAACTTCCTTTAATTATTTATTTAGTTTTAAAAAGAGCCTTAAATCCCTTTTAAATCATTTCTACATAACTAGCATTTAATGCCTTGTTCAGATTATTTACTGTAGCTCTACGCAATTTTATTCGAGTCTTTTGAGTGCAAATAATGTATGCATTCATTTTTAAAATACACTTAATCATTTTTCTTGATTCTGCTTTAAGCTGCTTCGGAAACAAACATATTTTAAATCTTTTAAATGCTGTATAACTTTCAAGCATACTTTTAAAAGTATAAAGTAATAAACTAAGACATACTTTTCAATTTGCCGGTTTGAAAGATTTTATTTGCTTGTTCATTACGATAAATGTTTTTAAAAATTTAGTGATTTGTAAGTTTTCCTTAAATTGTGGTTTGAAAAACCTTCATAACCATTTAAAATTATATTCTTTGATTTTAATCTTGCAGACATATGGAATAATCGTCCGTTTATGCGGTATTTACCTGATTTTTTCTACGTACTTTCTACATACTTCTTATTAACCAAACATAATACGAGCTGCTGGATATTACTAAATCACTTTTTAATATAGCTAAGATTAAATTCAGCATAGAAAATGATAAATATAATAAACTATATTTTAATGTCTGCATACGAAGAAATCACTTAATAATGCACACTTTTAGGACACTTTTCTGTAATATAATTATCGCTTTCTGACAGGTAAATAGTAGTAGTGCACAGACCTAATGAATATTACTGAACGTTTAGTAAAAATACGTTTGTTTATAGTGAAGTTAATTAGCAGGAATTTACTAGTTATCACGATAGTAAATATAAATAGTTTTGTGAATTTCCTACATTTTTATGTAGCTGCAACTGAAATTTATTTTTCAAGTAATACTGAAACATATAATTGATAAAGTGGGAAAAAATTTAAATTACAGATAACCAAAATGGAGTTATAAAGCAGACAATGAATCAGATAAATATTTTTAATACGGACTATTAGATATTGTTTCGTGTGATTAATTTTGAGGAATAGCAATAAATTTTCATGAATTTGTGGGGTTCCAACCTTAATATAACAGCTATGTGTGGTGTGTAGGAACTTCATGAACTGGTAAGCGAATAATCGCTTTAGTTCAGAAACAGAAACGTAAACTCAAGAAAGGTTAATTACCTTTTATTTCTCAAAATAAGAATTTAACAATAGGTCCGTATCTCAAAGCGTACATAAAAGTACACACTACTTGGGCTTGAACTCAAGAGTACTAAGAAATCCTTAACTAATGCTTAACTAAAATGATATAGCTGAAGCTATCAAAATTCTAAGTACTTGGCCCTTAAATATCAAATTAATAATAATTAAAAATCATATTAATAATAAACTGACTATGCTATCGAGGGCCTGAAACACGGCCGAGCGTAATAAGAGCTTAGAGAGCGTGTAGCCAAATTACAAACGCGCGCTAGTCAAAATCTCTGGCTCTCTAACGAAGTCAGTGGAACTTCAACTTACGTAAATACCGTTCTTCCTCAGTTGCATTTACCGCGATTCTAAAACCACATTCTAGTGGAAAATTGTAAGCTGAAACTAGGAGAGATAGGAAAGTAGCTCTAGCTAAATATAACTGCTAAAAACTTCGGAAAAACATTACAAACTCATTAAGAAAATTGGAATCTAAATCAGGCAGTACAATATTTTGTGTAAAAAAATCACATTTTAGAAATCGAAACCATATAATATCATTTTAGAATGATTCAACAAATTCACCTCAGTTTCGCATAGATTTTGAATAAGACACAAAATCTTTAATTCAAAATCTACGTCAGATGATATAAGGATACAGATAATATAAATATATATTTGCTTACATATATTTATATCTGCGTCAGATAATAAAAATATATGTAAATATAAATTTATATATGTTTATAAAAATATAATAGGGCTTTAAATAGGGAATATATTCATGCTATCAGGTTGTGCATTTAAAGCATTAATTTTATAAAAATTACAAAGCTCTAACTATTTATATGGCTTCTTGTTTCCTATAATTAAGTATAGCGAATGCTTATGTTTATTACATGAAATAAAACACGAAATATTTTATTGCTGCGAAATTAAACTTTATCAAAGTGTTTTATTTAAACAGGTGTGTGTGTGTGTGTATTTAATTATGGCAAAGCACACTAGGGTATCTGCCTAAGGGGAGGGATGCCTTCGTGGAGGATTTTCTAAGGGAAACTGGCTGGTATACACGTTACACATGAGGACAACCACGAAAATGCCCATGCAGCCAGCCCGTTCGCGGGATTCGAACCTTGGACCGAACTACCAGTGTTCAGCGACTTTACCGCTCGGCCGCTGGTGGGCCTTTATTTAAACAGGAGTTTTACAAATTGAAGAGTTAAATGATTGCATTCGTGCGTAACTAAAAGCAAAATATTATTTTAGAAAAACAATTTTGATCTTAATGCAAGGTAATAACAACGTTTTTTGCTATTTTGAGGTCATATTTGACGAAGCGCTTACAGAGATGAAATGAAGTGCGTGATACCCTGAAAAGACGATGAGGGTTTAGTGTAACCTTTGATCTGAACTAATGCAAGCGCGTTGCGCACGTGCATCCGTCATAACTCGTCTGCTGTCGAAAGGAAATCAAGGCATCGATGTAGATCATTCGCAGTTGTTTCATACATGGTTTTAAAATTAGTTTGGTTAAGTCATCAGTGATACTTCGCATGTGGGCAGGATGCTGTAAATGAATGCACCGCCAGGAATCAATCCCAGAACATGTCATACTAGGACCTCTGAGACGAACTCCGCAATGGACGACCATAGGTTTCTGATGACGCCACTTCAAGGAAGGTATAAAATAGGACAGAAGTCGGACAATGGAAAACTTGTTGAACGTTTCCGGGTTTCCAAGGAGGTAGTCAATTTTACCTGCATGACATAGGGCAGACGTACAAGTTGAGCAAGAATGTATACCACATATTGCAGGCACTAACAAAAAACAAAGTGTGACGTAAGGTGCACTCAGTATAACACTACCAAGTGTACCAACATTTTCTAGTAAATCCATTGGGAGCCCATGCCAAGAGCACCACGTTCTTCTGACATAACCCTTCAGAATTTAAGTGTATTAATTCAACTCTTTTATGTAGCATTTATGTAAATGTGAATACTATTAATGCGTTATTTTCTCCTTTCACGTTCGTACAGGGTTCGTGGATTTGGAGTGAATAACGACAACACTTGATGAAGTATCGAAACACAATTTATTTAGCGAATGTTAATCAGGATAGCTCCAATAACACTTTTTACAATCGTCGGAGATCTACTATAAACACGTTGGAACAATCAGTGACACAGCCTTCACACTGTCAAGCAATAGCGGTGGAGACAGCTTCACTGCAAAAGCACCCGAGTACAGCTCCCAACACTGCTTGGTTGTTCTCGGAATTCCACGTACTCTCGAGACTCTCCACACGATGCACTCGACGATACACAAGAGTACAGCTCTCGACTCAGCTCAGTCTAAGACAAAAAACTTGACGATACACTAATTTGCGATGCACTAAAAGACTCTCTCTATGCACTCGGCGCTAGACTTTGAGACACTCGCTCAATGACTGACTATCAGCTCGCTAGACGAGGCACACACACAATCGATGAGAGACGCACACTAACTGACTGCGGATCAGCAGGCTTTATATAGCTTTTGGCTTGTGTTCTAGAACATTCTGGACTAAACCGGTAAGAATTCGTTCCAGAAGGTTCTCCAACCGTCCATGGTATATCGTCCATTTTGTCACCAAGTGTAGTCAAATGGGCGATTTCTCGCCAAATGTGGCAACCATGCCCTTTTTGCTATTTTATAGCAGCCCTAAACTTCTTTGCGGGAAGCCATTTTATTGCGCATGTACATTTCGTAACAATATATGTATATTTTAAGGCGCATATTTTAAAATGTAAGCAGAGTTAGCTTTCTGGAGAGAAAAAATAACCGGAACTCTTAAATCATAAGAAATTGTTTTATGCTATAAATATATATCATACATTTTCATGTCAACTTTATTTCTGGTGTTCTGCTTTTATAGTGTTTTGCATCTGCAGGCTGTTTTACTCTTTAAGATCTATTAGTCTACGATTTAACGAAATTTAAAGAAAAATTAAAAATTATGTTTCACGTGACATTTTTATTTTCCAATTAATATGTTTGTAATACTTCCTTATAAATTTGTGATTATTATTCTATAGATCTGCTCAGAATTCTGAAAAGTCCGTCGATAACTGCTCTGAAGGATGCACATGTTCTGGAAGAGAAGAAGAAAAAATTAGAGAAAATATTCCAGGTATGTCTTCGAATCACAGAGAAAGGTACTTCTAGTAAATACTATAGCGTATTTATGATGTTAATTACGCGATGACTTTTATGAAAATATAATTCTTTTTATCTAGGAGGAAAAGAAAAAAATAATTCTTTTTATCTAAAAAAAAAAAAGAAAAAAAAAAAAAAAAAAAAGATAATTTTTCCTTTTTTTTTTTTTTTTTTTTTTCATTGCTTTACCGATTATTTATTTAAGAAATATCTTATTTATTCTGAAGTAAAACAGTTTTTATGTTTTATAAAATGTATTAATATGGAATTTAGAAAGGAAAAATGCATCCTGGTGGAATTTCAAAAAGAGAATTTAAAAAATCAAAAATTTTATTTATCTTACAACCAAAGTATTACACAACGTTTCCATTTCGTTAGATTTAGATTTTACTTCAAATGCACGTGACTGCACTAACATTCTTATTTTTGTAAATAAAATTTATAACTAATTAAATTACATAGAAAGTAACTGTTTTTATGTGGTGCATGAGAAAAGGAAAAAAAAAACTGACTAACTCCCCGAATAATATACTAACATACATTTTCAAGTAGTTTTTTCCTATAGAGAAACCATACGGCTGTAAGAGATAATCGAAACGGTGAATATTGTTTCCTAGATTTGTGCAGTTGGTGCAATAAAACATCTTTTCCTTTAAATAAAAGACATGCATTTGGTCAGCACTTATTTTGAAAGTTTCGAAATAAACAAAAGCGCTCTCCTTAATTATTAAACTTTGAATTTATGAGATAATCTTGAAATTAACGTATTGCAAAGACGCCCATTATGAAAATGCGTATATAATTTTACTGATTATGGGAATTTGAAAGATAAAGTACTCAAAAAGGTCATGATATAAATGAAATCCAATACGCCATATTTAATTATAAGTTATTAAAGCACAAGAAGTCTAATTAAAATTACGGTCTTATTAGGCTAAACAAATCTTTCATAATAATATTTTCTTGCTGTTTATTGTAAAGACGACATTTGTTCCTGTACATCTTAGAATAATGCTCTGAAATTGACAGGCTGCAGGTTAAACAAACATTCGTATTGCTGTTTTTTGTATATTAAGAACAATTATTCTTGTTTAAACTACTGTCCCAGAAATAATTTAATACGGTTCCCGAAGGCATTTCACTTGTGCATTTGTTGCCGATACGGTGTTACATAAGTGTCAGGACATCCGTTATTTGAAGTGTTACCATTAAAAACTAATGGGAATAGGGAGCAAGTAACTATATAAATTGAACTAAATCACTTACACTATGATATAAACCTTCTTAAAATTTTGAAAACACAGTTTTGTTTCATTTTTATTCATGTTGTCAAAAGTACGCTCAGTTGCGAATTTGTATACTAAGAATAACTGTTTTATTTGAGAACACATTTATGTGCGAACAGCTTTCGTTCACACTTGAAATTTATTAAGACAAGGACGCTATTGAGAGATGAGCATTTATAGTCCTTGATGAAGACAATGAATGAGGACTTGATGAAAACATTATGCAAACAAATTTTTTGCACTTGCATACAAAATTCATAATTTTTGCGAACAAGCATATGTATTATTTTCGAATGTGTCGATAAAAAATTTAATAAATAAGCCAAAGAGACTACGTTGTCTTGATTTATTTTCAGGTATTCTCTGAAAACTTAGAAAGTTTCCATAATTTGTCTACTTTTAATTAAAGTAAGTTGTTTAATGATTAATTAAGTATATCAGTGTTATTTGTAATAAATATCAGCCTGCAGTATTAATATTTGGCTGTCAGTATGTTGTAATTACAAAGTATAACCAAAAATGTTTTTTGCAAGTACTAAACTTTAGATTTCAGATAGAAACGAAGATATATATATATATATATTTTCTTTTTCTTTGCGTTAATGTTATTATGTATGTGTGCTTTGATAATGCTTTGAATTTGGAAATTAATAAAATTTAGTTTAAGTAGTTGTTAATTTGTTTGATAAAAATTTTCATTTTACTAAAAATAAATTATGGCCTGTCAAGTTCTTTCAAACTGTGCATTTAGCCGCAAGTAATTTGAATTTGAGACCAATGTCTTAGATAACATGTGAAATGTCCATTTATAGATTATCCGTGAAAAGTATAAAGCATTAATTAAAAATTATCATTTAAAATTAAAGCATCAAACGTAAATATATATCCCAGGGGGAAAATGGATTCATTGCTGGTCCTAGTTTTCTAAAAATCTTGCAGTTTACATTATTGGCTGAAGTAATTTGTAACTTTACTAAAATTATTATTTAAAAAGAATAATTTTAATAAAATTACTAACTGCTGATTGATAATACTTAATTATGCATAAGAAGCTAGCTAATCCAGAAAAGACTTATACGTGATAATAATAACTTTCTATTTTGAGCCGTTTGACTCGTTTAAGTACTCATAATATGAATTTGCATCATAAACTGATGTTAACAGGCGACGAACTAATCTTTTTAATGTAACTTAAATCCTTACATCTTGTGCTGCCAGATAAATTAACATTCCGAGTCTTGTTAAAACCTCAAAACCAGTTATTGGTTTAGAATTGTGGTAGTTCATTAATTTCTTTCCAAAATCCACGTGATAAATATACACTTGAGTCACACTTCCATGCAAGCACGATTATTTTCAATGAAGTCAAGCTAAACATGCTGTTTAATTCGATGAGTGGATACGTTTATTTCTGCGGGGTGATATTATAGCTTCTTTCTGTTGAGCGACGAATTCATCGCTCGAGACATTTTCTCAATCATTTCGTAAATACGTCTTATAATATATGTAATTGGAAATATTTGTAAATATGTAATTGGAAATATTTGTAGTGTGGTCCTTTCACTCTAAATGGTGATAATTGCATTTTACTTCTTCCTAAAGAAGCTTGGTAAATGCATGTTCTGAAGTACTGAATCACATTAAATGGTTTGGCTCGCGGTTGAATAAATCCTATGTCGGATAATAAAATCAAAGACACACTACTCTTCATTAGTTGTTGTGTTCATTCTCGTATGTTACTGTTTCTTTATCCTGTAATGAATATGTTACCAACATGAATCTATAAAAGGTAATAGGGTGAAGCGGTATTAAAATGTTTTGCATCATGAAAATAGGAAACATACAGTCTCTAATTATAAATCGGTTGCAATAATAATAAGAGTAATAATAATGATGATAATAATAAGAGCTCAACTAGGATGCAACCATGTAGTGTTATTTTAATAAAAAATGTAAGCAGGGACTCCATTGCAAACACATAAACAATTGTTTGTAGGTTCCATGGTTTCAGGCCCACCAGCGGCCAAGCGGTAAAGACGCTGAACTGGTAGTTCGGTCCGAGGTTCGAATCCCGCGAACGGGCTGGCTGCATGGGCGTTTTCGTGGTTTTCCCCATGTGTAACGTGTATACGAGCCAGTTTCCCTTAGAAAGTCCTCCACGAAAGGCATCCCTCCTCTTAGGCAGATAGCCCTAGTGTGCTTTGCCATAATTAAATACACCACACCACACATCCATGGTTTCAGATTAAAGAACGAACAAAATAAGGGAGGTTTAAAATGACAGCAGTTTCATCACGTAAGTCTGAAAAAGTGTACGAAATTAAATTGATTTTTGAACACAAAGAAAGTTATGAATAGTACACTCTTCCTTATCCAACTGAGGATGTTTTAAGAGAGAAAAAAGGTTCTGCAATGCATGAAATTTAATCTTGTAAACATATTGTCAAAATAACTGTCAAATTAAGCTCACTAATCTGAAAAAAGAACAAAATCTCTGTGGATTTTATTGGTAATATAATATATGAGTTTTCTAAACCAAAATTTTCAAGCTATAGCACTTTTACAAATAGGTGTTTGAAACCTTTGCATATATTATGATGTTTTCTGGTTCAGGAGTTACAGTTCATAAATTTGCATTAGTAAAGTTAATATACACAAACACCTTTAGCAATATTTGTTTAGATTATGCATATATTTTAGTTAATGAATGTTCGGTAATTTTGATGATGAAATGAATTTTTTCCGAATATATTGGCCATTCCAAAACGTTCCTTAATGATACATAATTTCTATGGGGCTTGTAAAAAAATTAAATTTTGTATGTTTTTATTAAAATATGTTACGTGACCAAAATATGGTTAATCTAAAAATATACATTATTAGAGCAAATTCTTAAATTGGAACCATATGTCTGCGACCGTTCATTCAAAAGGTAATCAATCATGTACAATCATGTAAACTTTTTCACTGTTCATAAATCAAAAGCTTGAAAATTGTTTCTAGAGTTAAAAAAAAGTGTCTCAGAGCAAAAATAGAATGCTTTAATTGGAGTTCTTAACTGAAGTTAATCAACATCTTTAGAACAACAGCAACGCAAAGCGCGGTCTCCTGATGACAACGCTCACAGTTGCCAGAAATTTTTAACTAATTTATACATTATTATTATTTCCTTTCCATTTTATTACATACTTTCACAAAGCTGAAACATTAAAGATTGACACATAAATCTAAAAACGGAAATTATTGCTTTTATAAATATATTTGTAAGGTTTATCATTCCAATATATCATGAATGGTTAACTCACTGACATGACAATTAATTATCTTACGGCATGTTTCATGTGTCAAACACTTTCTTATATAAAAGCTATACTCCTTGATTTGAATCGATTTTTAATCTTAAATTTATTTAAATGTTTTCTTGTAAATATTAATTATTATATTAGTAAGAATGAACTATTTATTTTAATAAAAATTTGAGGTATTAAAAAATCAATTCACATGTTACTGAATGTTCTAGCTGTTGGCAGCTACCCGATCTACTCTATATTATTTGTTGTGTTCTGATGTTTCACTAAAAACAATCAAATATACTTAAGTAAGTTTTATTATTTTACATCTTTGTATGAGCTGATATAAACCAAGACACATAAACTGCAGATGCAGATGTTGCAGAAATTCCTATAATAATAAATTATTATATTTTTTGCTAATTTGGTTAGGTTTTAAGCCAATATGTTTGATAAAGGGAAACTATTATAGTAAGAATAGCAAATGAACTAATTGCTTCTAATATATTAAAAATACTTTAAAGTAAATATAGTTGTGGAAAAGATGAGACTTAGTTCTTTTTGGACAAATCGATTACTGGGAAGGATATTATCAGCGAAGCAATTTATATTTGATATAAGCAAAATATTTCATTTCCAAAATGTAAGGAAATGTTTTAGGGATTAGCAGTATTAAACTTTTTTAAAAAGGTAAAGGATAAAAAGCTTTGTTATCTTAATTGCGTAATTTTCTCTGAAGATCGAGATTTCAATGATTCAGTTCTTGATTAAAATATTTCATAAACTCTGTTGTTCAGAACAGGCCAGACATAAAGAAAAGACGAAACAGTCCTAAAATAATATTTCTATGGAATTTTTTTTTTTTTTTTTTTTTGCTGAATTTTGCCCAATGTTAATACGCAATGTAATTTCCAAGTAATATAACTATCGGTTTAAATTCTCAATATATTTGGCAATGTTTCTCTCACGTCAAATTAATAATTAAAATAAGAAATTATAAAGGCGATGGTTTGACATTTTTAGAATAATTTCGAAAAAAAAATAAAGCAAATGATATGGAATAAACATTTATGGCAACATTTTATTATTTGGCATGAGAAATATTGTCTTGTACTTTAAAATTTATTCTTTTTTCAAAACGTCGCACATAAATAAGTTGGGGATTGGAGGATATGTTTTTGCGGTTTCTGAAGAGAAATATTCCTATTCCATAATTAAAAAAACTCTGTGAAATGTATAGTATTAAGTTTTCTAAGTGCCAAACAAGTAACATGTTTAATCAGAAAGGGAAACTATCAATGCACGCAAAAAAGACTCCAAACAAATACTCAAAAAAGGTACATGCTGTTTTCTAATGTTTCTAATGTTAAACCGTTGGCAACAAGAAAAACTCCGTCGTCGCAGAAATCAATTCTAAAGTCTTTAAATACATCTGTAGTAACAATAAGTAAAATAATTAACCAAGATTTGTAACTTAAAAACTTTAAGAAGCATAATGTTTACCCGATTCTGCTGAGGCATATGATTCAACGCAGAATATGTAGAACCCTGTTTAAAACGTATTAGCAGGAGATAAATCGAAATACATTGTGATGAAGCATGGGTTTACCTAAATCACTGCAGGAAATAAAAGTCTATTTATTATAAAAAACGAAAAGAAAAAAAATGTACAAACCTGGTTTTGTCAATGCAAAGAACGTTTCAGTAAATCGTTGCAGGGTTCTCTTTCGATGGAAATTAAAAACAAGAAGCGTGGGAAAAAGTGCTAAAATTAGCTGAACGTGTCTTTAAGAAAACGTTTTGCGCCTGATATTAACAGGCGTTTCCCAAATTTCGTTTGTCCAAATTTAGATAGCAAATGTTTACTATTATAACACTAATAATCTACATAATTAAAGAACCTATAGAATTGGAATCTTTCTATGGAATCAGCAAAAATTCTCTTGTTTTATCTCATATTTTGATACTTAAATTTTAATTAGCATTTTTTTTTCTGTTAATTTTGCTGGTACCTTAAATTGCTCTAATAATGCGCAGTTTGTGCAAATTTTCAGGCTGATGAACTAACAGAAGCGTATGTTTCCGCATTACATCAGCGGAAGATTAAGTCGCCTGACAAGTCTTCAGATCTAGATTTAACAATTCAAGTAGTCTGATTTATAACGAAATGAAGGAATAATGTAACTGATGCAAAAAGTTAACAATTTAACAATTTATTTTGCATTTTAAATTAAGTCTGAAGACGTCTAAATTTCAAATGATTCGGAGAGAACTTTGAATTTTAAATTCTGAATAGTGTTTCTTTGACAAAGTGAAATTTAACATTATTTTGAATAGTAAAATCTACACGCTTTGCCTTTATGTTCCAGATTTAGAGGGAAATTCTAATTAAAAGTTGTCTATCGTAATGATTGTAATATTAAATGTTATCATAATGATACTTCTAGTGCACTGAACATTGAAGGTCGAAACGAGTTTACAATATATGACCCTTTTTTCACTAAATAAAACTGAACGTGAATAATATTATATACTTCACAGTTTTTGATATCATTTCCATTCAGTTAGTATGATGAGTGAGACTGTAAGTAGTGCACAGATAATAAAATTAATTGGACGCTGATTAATTTATCTCTTTAGCTAGGCATATGATTTGGAACCGTTATTAATTAGCGTAAGTACTGTACTGATGTTTAAAGAGAAAGAGCTATTAACGAGTTCATTTTAAATGATTGTTTTGATAAACTTACTTAAACAACTTGAGACTACTTAAACAACAGTACGTTTATTTTCTTCTTATTAAAAATGATTCTTCTATTTTAGATGTTGTTGTGTTCAGTGAAAAAATGAAACCTGGTGAAGAGGAGTCATTTGTTAGTTACGCAGGTGAAACTGTTCATTGGAACCGGATAAATCCTCCTGCAACCTCAGAGGAATACTTAACATCGCAAGTAAAAATGAAGGTAAAATTTAATGTGTTCATTCTTAATGAACAGTTTTTTTTTTTTTTTTTTGGTTTCAGCAAATTTTTCAGTTGAAACGATTTAACTTAAATTTTAAATTATTGCGAGTGGTCCGCATTCATGAAAGGTTTCGAACCTTCGGCATCGTAGTAAGCTCCTCTAACCCCATATGCCGTCTGGACGGTTCGTTGGTGCAGTATACTTCTGCGCTGGAAATATCTACTGGATTATATTGGAAAACTGATTGAGGTAGCAGCTGAATAAAACTGTGATGATTAATACTTTCAAAAAGGCAGTAGTCCTATTCACTGCAACATACATTATCAGCGAGACCGTTTCCGATAGTATCTCAGTTACATTTTGCCACAAGGACAGTGACCATTCTTGGCACTATCTCAATCAAAATTTGTCATTCAAGTGGATAGGAAGAGCAGAAGGATCAGATGATGCATTTATGCAGTGGGCATTACGATGATGTGACTCTGACCATGATATTAAAGGCCTGGATGTAGAACAGAATAAACATATCAACAAAGAAAGACAACTAGTTTTTGTGATGTATGCTGGAAAACGTAATAAGTTTTCTTCTATCCTAGCAGAATGAAATTGATTCTGGTTGCGTAATTTGTTATTAATTTTCACAATGTTTCGCAGAATCAGAAAAAGTACTTTGGGAATTTACATCTCATAGCCACTCCTAAAGATGAGGGAGTTCCGGAAACTGTGCAAGCAATGCTACAAGAAATTTCGTGAGTTTTTAACAAAGGCAACAGATCTCAGTTACATTTTGCCACAAGGACAGTGACCATTCTTGGCACTATCTCAATCAAAATTTGTCATTCAAGTGGATAGGAAGAGCAGAAGGATCAGATGATGCATTTATGCAGTGGGCATTACGATGATGTGACTCTGACCATGATATTAAAGGCCTGGATGTAGAACAGAATAAACATATCAACAAAGAAAGACAACTAGTTTTTGTGATGTATGCTGGAAAACGTAATAAGTTTTCTTCTATCCTAGCAGAATGAAATTGATTCTGGTTGCGTAATTTGTTATTAATTTTCACAATGTTTCGCAGAATCAGAAAAAGTACTTTGGGAATTTACATCTCATAGCCACTCCTAAAGATGAGGGAGTTCCGGAAACTGTGCAAGCAATGCTACAAGAAATTTCGTGAGTTTTTAACAAAGGCAACAGAAACCAATTTCTATTTGCATTTGTTTTGGAGCGAGGGTGATTTGAAACACCAGCAGCAGAAACCATGTTCTCGATATTAAACAAATTTGTTACAATCGACATTAACGGATTTGCAACTACGTTCATTATTTAATTTTCAGCTTCCACGTTTCACTTGTCAGTATTTACTCAAGCAGTTCATTGTTCTAATCTCAAAAGCTAGTTAATATAAGTAATAATTCTAATTATTTTGATAATTATTTGACAGTTTTTTCTAAATTTACAGTACATTATAAGATATTACCTTATTAGTAAAAAAATGTAAAATTTAAAGATCGGTTTTAAGCATAAGATATCGGAATTCTACAGTGTTAAAAAAATATCTGCAAGAAAGCTTTCTGTGCAGTTCTAAAAAAGATTATCGACTTCTAGTTTTCGAATGATTCTCTCCGATGACGTTTTCGAAGCCAACACAATTTTATATTTCCTGTTTTCAAAATCAAAATTACTTTAGTCATACTTACCTTTTTGCTTTAAGTTTGTCAGTTCTTTCTTTTTTCATCATCTGAACTTCTGCTAAGTCTCAGGGCATAGTTTTATTATTAAAAAGATTAAAAGTGATTTGCGATACGAATATGGAATGCGAGTAGGATTTCTGTTTGATATAAAATTAAATTTTTCGCTATATTCATAGCTTCAGGGAAGGTAAATAATTTATACATAACATATTTTAAGGGAAAGAAAAACGAAAGTTATATTCAAAGAAATAAAATTGTTTTGCATGAAGTAATATTTTATTCTTTTTCGAAATAAAACACTTAATAATAAAAGAGATGTAGCGTTTCCACGTGTCAAGTAATAAAACGCATAAACAATGTCACATTAAAAGAAACGCTTTTTATGGCTGCATTATTCAAGTCATTTCACTCCTGAGACATGTGAAACTGCTTGTCCTAAAATTAATATTGGCTTACAGTACACGTTTTTCGATTTAATACGTGTTTTACTTATTTATTTTTCAGAATTCATTGTACTTGACATGAATTTAAATAAGGAAAAGGGTAATATATTGCATGTGACATATTAAATATTGCTGGAATCCTGACAGATAAGAAAATTAGTACATTTTTCTTATTAGCTATAAAAATCCTGCTATTTTGTGATGAAATCATTAAAAATATTCAGGTTTAGTGCTTGACTGATGTAAAGTGATTTGTAAAGAAATGTATAGTTTTATTAAAATACAGAAAAAATTTCTGATTTAAGAAAAAGTTATTAAAAGTCAATTCCTTTTAATTCTTTATCCACAAATAGGTTACGATTGCAGAAACGTTTCATATTTCCGTTAGTTTACCTTAATGATCAAAATATAAGAGATCCTTTATATAGAAGTCTGGAAAGTTAAATATTTTCAAAATTTTCATTAATTTTATTTTATTTTATTTATTTCGTTTTACTGTTTATTATATCTTTATCTGAGTTTATTACCTAAGTTTATTAATTTATTATCTCAGTTTATTGTACAAAAGAATTAAAGTCACTTAAAATACATTGAAATAAATTTTTAAAAGTTGAATTCGAGTGCAACACATACATTTTATACAGGGACTGTAAACATTTTTATTATGTATTTCTTTACACTCATTTTAGACATGGAATTCAGGTTATAAGATTTATCGAAATAAGATACATAATTTTATAAAAACGTTATCATCACTGGAAGTTGGAGGATATTTTAAAAGTAAAAACTGATATTTTATGTCTCGACGTTCATAAAATTTCAGCTAGTAAAATATCTATTTTGGTTTTAAACATTTGAATTAATTATTTTGAATTAAATTATACATAAATTTCAATAATGTATGCGTAATTCACTTTAATAAGTAAATTTCAATAAAATATCCTAGGGCTAGAAGCCAATTTAAAAATAGTTTTCTTTATACTATACAGAATCTTAAGAAAAATTTAATTGATATTTGTTATGTTCAATAAAAAATAGACATATATTCCTTTCTGGAATATCCCAATGAATTCCTTAGCAAAGGAAGGCAAAGAACATTTTATTTAATTTATTAAAGCACAATTATTGCGTCACTTGTCAGAACTTTTGCACATTAATTTATATTTTTTCCAATTATATCATAAAACTTGTGCTGGTTTAAGAGAATGACTAGGTCTAGTGATGCGTAAAAACTCTACATTAGAAATTCCGTTATTCAAAATCTCGTGAACAAATATGTAAAAAAAAAAAAAAAAAAAAAAAATCCCACAGCAACGTTTTTAACCGCATTGCATAATAAACTGTTAAACTAATCTTCATTTTGTTTTATTTTTAATAAATGAAATTATTTATGAGCTTATAACGAACGTAAATTCTGATACAGCGTAATAAATGAAGCTCTAAAAGAGCATTTTAATGTGCTGTTTTGGGAAAGCATAGCTTGTATTCAAAATTATCAATTACATCTCTGTACTTCATACAAAATCGCACAGTAATTGAACGCAGTGATTTTGCCAGTTCAAAATTTATATGCAGTTGACAACAATTGGTAAATGGAATCTGCGCCAGTACCTTTTTTGACGAACCAAGAGATAATGTATATTTTGAGAAAAGAGGAAAACAAAATAAATTACTGCGGATTAAGAGCCAGGCGAATAATTTGATTTTGTTGTTCTAAATCAACACAATTTTGAAGATTGTACAAAATTACGTTAGCTTCCTTTTTTTTCTGGAGAACAAATTAGGAAAGATTGGGTAATATGGATGACTTGGATCGATAGGTAAAGATATTTTGCTTTCCCTAGCTAACGTTTAAGAGGTAACAGTGGAAGTGTCATATAATCCTTAATAAAATATCCTGAATACCTGACACAGAGCAAGTACTAAATTTATAAGTTAACCGTTAAATGTATAAAAATATATATAATGTTAGAAGTTTAGATTACAATTATTAGAAGTTATTAGAGTATTAGAAGTTTAAAGATTAGATTAGTTTTTTAATTATTAAAACTTTCCCAGAGTTTACGTATCCTAAAAATACCTGCTGTTACTTTTGATTAATTTATCCCACAACTTCCTTTTTGTTTTAGATAAAATATTTAATTAACACTCGCAAAGGCGTCATGCGTAGTCAAACATCAGTGAAACTGATGGTGCATGTTAAAAGGCTTCACAATAAAATTATCTCAAAGTTTAACCCTCAACCAGGAAACATTGATGCAGAAAAATCACATCACAGTATTTTTAATTTATGATATGTAAATTCATGTTTTAGAAGTTCTTTTTTCCTACATTTTGATACAAACATAAAGCTTTAAATTATATATTTTACTTTTTTGTTAGTTGTATTTTATATAATTTTCACTTCTGTAAAAATGACTTAAATTACACCAGGTTATTAGATTATCGCTCACCAAATGCAGCCACATTCTTTTATATTTTGCCGTTCTGTAATTTCTCAATCTGAAATGGAAATATAATCGTTTTCTATGATAAATTGAGAAATATTTAATATTTACGACTTTAATGTTATCGAATATAATAAAATCATTCCTTAAAATAGAGGAAAAATACAGAAAGATGCAAACTATAATTATCTGAAAGATCGTTTCGGCAGCTATTTTTAGTTTTATGAAGATTACCTAACTGGACTTAAAAGTTTCAGACTTTTGACTTTTATTAGATTTATTTTTCTCAAAAGGAACGAATATATATGTTATTGAGTACGCTTAACATCTTTCGGGAGACACGGGGATTATTAACGCTTAGACAAAGTTAATAAATGACTAAAATTCAAAGAACATCTGAATAGGGATTATTGAATGTTTTCTTATTTCCGTACGCATGTGAACTTGATCTGTACAAATTCATGTCATGATAACCTTTCATATACAGTGAACAAATTTTACCAATTTACATTATGCTTTTTGTGTAATTTTTGTTACATTTTCCTTTACGAGTATTGATATAATAACACTCTTGAATAAGGTTTTATGAATAGTGTGTGTGTGTGTGTGTGATTATGGCAAAGCCTCGAGGACTATTTGCCTAAGAGGAGGGATAACTTCGTGGAGGACTTTCTAAGGAAAACTGGCTCGTATACACGTTACACATGGGGAAAACCACGAAAACACCCATGCAGCCAGCCCGTTTGCGGGATTCGAACCTCGGACCGAACTACCAGTGTTCAGCGACTTTACCGCTCGGCCGCTGGTGGGCGGTTTTACGAATAAGGCTTACAGTTGTTCGATTGTGCCGACTGTAGTTGAAAATTTAGCACTTGCCTTCAGATTTTACTCATTGTCTTTTAAGATAATTTGGAAGTTGCAATTTTGAGGTCTTAAGATTTTATTTTTTCATAACCACTGAAAATCGATAAGAAAATTAAGAAAAAATAACAGTTTAAAAAAATGTATAAATGAAAAACACATCAAAATAAAAAATCAGGAATATATATGAGAAAAACTGCAGCGCGGTTTCCGATAAAATATCTTGAGCAAAAACTTTTAAAGCAAGAAAACTAGAATTAATTAATAAATAATAATGGTGCTATTTAAATATTTTGTAAAATAACTAGAAATTAAACGTTTTATTTATTAAATTAAGAACTATATCAAGGGACATTTATATTTTTAAAAAAACATTGATTTAAATTAATAGTAAATACATTCATAAAATAATTTTTATTTATACAAGGTACGTCCATAACATAGCCCGACAAATTGAAGAACCAAACAATAAAATAAAGTGTGAAAGAATAAATGAATGTTTAGAACGTGTGACATCTCAACTCTTCATAAAGCCAATTTAAACGGATTAGTTTGTCGTTTGCCTATCAAAACGCTGGAGTAATTTTCATTTACTGAGAAGGCATTGAACAGAAATATTTTCTTTCAGAATGAACAACATTATAACATTACATTTTATTACATATTAGATAAATCTGCTACCCAAACGTTATAGATGATTCGAACAGTATATGGTGATGCATTGTTATCAAAAATCCAAGTTTATGAGTGCTACAACTGGCTTTAAATGTTGTTGAAGCGTTGAAAATGAAACAAAGATAGGGTGCCTTTCAACTTCAGAGAATGCGGGAAATGTAGAGTAAATTCGTTCTTTGGTAAACGTTGCTAGATATGTAAAACCTCAACAACTTTCACACATGCTTGGGGAAAGCAAAGGAAGTAAGTTAGTTTCAATTGAAAATCTGAAAATCAGGAACGTTGTGCCTCGGAATTCAACAGAACAGTAGAAAGGAAGACAGAGAAAAACTTGTTGTGAAGATTTGCTGACTATTGCGATATATGAAACGATTTCCTAAAGTGTATCAAAGCGGGAGATGAGACTTGGTATCCACAATACGACCCAGACAAAAAGACAACAGCGCACCGTCGTCTCCAAGAAAGCACGGATGGCGAAATCAAAGACTAGAGTGATGCTGATTGCATTTTTTGATTACAAACGATTCTTCACTACGCTTCTGTTCCTGAAAACCAATCAGTTATTCAGCATTTTTACAATGAGGTAATTTTTCGATTAAGAAACAGGATAAGGCAAGTGAGTATGGAAGGAACCTTTTGATTTTGGGCAATGGTTTCTTTTCCACGGTAATGCTGTATCTCATACAGCATTCTCTGTACAACTGTATCTTGTTAAGCGTTCAATTACAGTGATAAATCACTAACCATATTCTCCTGACTCATTGCCTGTTGAATTTTTTTCCTCTTTCCAAAGCTTTAGATGGCCATGAAAGGACACAGATTTGAAAACGTCTTGGATATTAAATCAAATGTTGCGCATATTTTGTGATTGTTTAGCTCGAACGCTTATAAGTCGTATTTCCATGACCTAAAATAAACATTGAAATATTGTATAGACTGCTCTGGCGATTATATTGAACAATATAAATGACATAGATTTATTCGAAGGCTAGTAAACGTTTTTATTTAGTAAAAAGTTATCCGATTACTTTATTTATGCACTTTGTATATTAAATGTTTTATTTGACCCTAATAACTAGTTCACATCTATATTTTATTTCAGCAGCTTCCCTGCACTAAAGGTGCATGGCCACAAACCGCTGCAGAGTGGCCATCTCAACCAGTTGAAGCAGTTGCTCTACAGTTCCACAGACCAGCAGACGACAGCATGAATTTGGATCCTCGACATACCTTACCACTACACACCCTGCCAACGATTGAAGAAAGTCCTATTGTTACATCTGCCTCATCCCCAACTAGTGTGATAACAAAACAGCCTGTCATGGTGGCAGCAAGACAGACAGATGTGTGATATGTATGGCACTGGAAGCCACGGTAAGTGACATAGATATTAAAGTACTCCAAAAAACCTTATAGATTTTTTAACATGCGAGGAAGATATGCAAAAAATTAGGAATGATTTTTTATTTCACCCATACCGTTTAGGATAGTTAAATTAATTACAGAAAACCGTAAATCGAATAGTTCTATACTTTACAGTACTTACGATTCAACTAAAAATGAATGGGGACACCTGTTTTTAACTACTGTTCCACATCTATCATTAATTAAATTTATTACAACTACTTTAAGTAGCAACTCAATTTTTTGAATTTTTCATTTTGTAACGTGCAGTTTCAATATATGAGTTTTTAAATACATGTATATGAAAGAGGAATTAAAAAACTGAAATTAAACAATTACATTAAAAATAAACTTAATAAATTCCACAGATCATGGAGTTCATAAAATTCGAAAAAACATTCATAAAATTGAACATCATACAAAATGATTACATCGTTTTAATTAAGCGTCATAAAAAATTACTATGTGTTGGCTTATAAATAAAATAATGAAATTTAAAAAGAAGAGTTAAATATGCTACTGTTATATCCATATTAAGTGAGCTGACAATTATTTTTCTTAATGCAGAAAGTAGATTCTTAATTTTAGAAATTTTAAGCACAAGATTTAAGAACGTTCTTTAATAAACGATCATTTTGAAAGAGATGAATGTACCTACAGAAAATTTAATGTCTTATTCTTCGTTAAAGACATTCCATTTTATAATGCTCTGTGGATCGTATGTCCCCGCAGACGCGATCTTCAGTACAGAAAAATCCAAGTTGATAGTAAAACGTTGCGAAGAGACCATGTCCTTATAGAGACTTAAGCTGGATATTCTAGATCGAAAAGCAATTCCAATTTCGCGAAAATTTGGGAAGAAGATGAAACCCAGCACAGTTAGTAATAGGTAAAATGAGTGAATTTTTAAGCAGAGTTGGATTATATGAGATATAACAGCTATTCGGCATTCTAATTTTAAGTTGCCTCTCTTACTGATGCCTTCCTTGATATGTAAGGCTTTTCTTTATCGCCCAGCTCATTGCCATGTGATGTAGCATGAGATTTTATCCATCAAATATTGACATGAATCCTTTTGCTGTTTTGTAATGAATGCTGAATATTCTGAATTCATGATAATATCTGTGATTAATTTAAAATTGTCATAATCAAGTAAACTAAACCAACTGCTCTTGATTGCGAAGAGCCTTTTTCTACTGACCTTGCTGTTTAATTACCGGAGTCATACCGGAAACAGCGTCTGTGAATAACAGAAAGCACGACTAGTTCGAGGGTAGTTTAAAAACATAGAAAAAAAGGCATATTTAATTAACAGAAAATATTACTAATATTATTACATTTAAAGAAGTTTATTCTAAATTGATTTAGATACATAAACTGAAACAATATTCTAAATAAAATGAACATTCTGGAAATAACGGAAGAGTACACTGCGAAAAAAAATGGGACAGGATATCTCGTTCTACTGGGCCGATTGACGAAATTCAAATTGCGTTTTTCATGTCTCGAAAGCACAAATTAGAAGATTTATATATAGCATTGCTCTAATATAAGTATTTCGAAGCAAAATCGGCCTTTAGCTGAAATTACATACCATTTTTTTCCATATTTCGATTTTACGACTCAATTCATGCCTAAATATTAAATTTTGTAAATTTTGGTTCGAAATTTACGGAGAAATTCAAAAATTTATCTCTGCGCATTTTTTTCTGTTTGCGCCAAGGATAATTCACATAGCGAACTCTTTAATGTTATAGCGACCTATTTTCCTTTCCTTTTTACTTCCTTGTACGAAGTAAAAAGGAAGTATTGTAATCGCGAAAAGTTTCAGGCAGCATATTTCAACGAAAATATCCATTATGACCGCTAGCGAATGCAATTTAACAATTTTTTGCGTGATATCTGTAGATAAGGACAGAATAAAATACTATTTTCCTTCAAAAAAATTATAAAACTGCTTTAAAATTAATTCTGAAGAGAATTTTTCGTGGCGTCTGTACGAACGTATGTACGTACGTGCGTACGTACGTACGTACGTATCTCGCATAACTCAAAAACGAGTAGCCTCAGAACGTTGAAATTTTGTATATAGGTCTGCTATAATATGTAGATGTGCACCTCGTATTTTGGTTGCAATCGGCCGCACCAAACGTATATAAATATATTTATATATACATCAACTCTGTTACCCGGCTCAGTGATCTCAGTTTCTTTACTCTTATATGTTTGTAAATTGTACATTTTTTGCTTTAAAAAGGATTGTATTATGTTGTTTTTATCTTCCGGTTAAGGTTTTTATGCCTTTAGTAAATCTGTATGCAATATTTTGAGAATTCTCAGCAATTTTAAAGTTGTCTAAGTGCCGCTAAGCCTTTTTTATATGGCGGCCGTTGATGTTTACATTTGAAATAGAGACTAGTATATTTGTTGCCAATCTAGAGAAACTTAGCTTCGCAACAACAAAGATAACGCATTCATTTATTATTGCCAATTAAATCATGCTTAATTCTTTCTGGAATTTTTTCGAGGAAATAAGTGTTTAAGATTTACTTCGTAATTTTTAATATAGATATTTTAAGTTTTTATGCATTTCTCGCGAAGTGAGAACTAAATTAATTAAATGAGAAATACTCAATCGTCTGTGAAAAACTGTTTCTTTTTGTTTTGTTTGCTTAATTTCTTTTATACATCATTCTAGCTTTATCATGGTATTTGAATAGAACATGTGGCAACGATTAGATAATTCTATTCATTAAATGATATAAATTTTGTGCATTATGAGTTATAATATGAACGAAGTATATAAGTTAACTGTTATATAATTATTGGATTATATAACAGTTAACTTAGTTTCCGTTATAATTAACTAATTAATTATAAGTTAACTGTCATATAATTATTAATACTGTTAAGTGAATCTAGCGCCAGAGTATCGCTATGTTAAACAAATACTAGAGTGAATTTTAAAGAATGCATTTATTCTATTGTGGTTTATGCGCTGTCGGCGAAGTAGATTTAATTAAATCCAATAAGTTTAAATGAAATGCAAGAAAAAATGCGTATAATTTAATATTCCGTACAAGGAATTTTGAATACAAAAGTCTAAAGTTTTGCGGGTATGCTTAGAAATACATCTACTTTAAGACGATGTTAAAATTTTGTAGGTGGTAATACAAAAATGTTTTCGAAAAATTGATAAAATGTATTCAAGAATACAAATTTTAAAAATAAATCATAAAAAATGAGCGAACTATATTTGGATTAAACCTACATTTTGAATTCTGGAAGAAGGAATCAAGTAAGTTTAATAAAGAAAGAGATATTAATAAATCTCTATCATATTCAGCATTTTTTTTTCTTTGAGAACATACAGACTCCCCGTGCACCACATACGTACAACACGGGGCTTATAGAAGTAAGTTAACTAGAACATTAAAGGTTACACGTATAAATAAACATTAAAAATTACATGCATAAATAAAGCGAACAAAAGCAGAGAACAGCAGTCTGGACTTCACGAAAACAGATAAGTTCACTGGCCAAGTCACTCCGAACATTTTCAAATCGTTCTGTAAGCATAATCTAGGGCCATCAAATGTATGGCACGAGAAGATCAAATGTTCCACATCCTGAGGAACTCTTTTTGAACATTCACATAAATTGTTTGATCGTAGATTAAAACGAAACAGATAACTTGCAAATTTACCGTGACCAGATAGAAACTGAGACACTTTAAAATTTAAAGAGAGGAAAGACTCGGAATTCAGTCTATTCTTATAGAATTATTCAGTCTATATTCTTATAGACGGAAGGAACTTTTTGGTGACTTCTGCATTACAAGATGAAATGTATTCCTCATTCCACATAGCTAAAAGCTTTTTATAAGGACTTCCAATAACTCTTTGGAATGCTAATGTTGATATCAATGGGTAAATTTAAGGCATCTTTAGCTAAGAAATCAGCTCTTTCATTTCCGTAGAAACCATGATGAACACGCACATAAGCAAAGCAGATATCAATACCTCTAATTCTAAGTGAACTAACAGTTACTAGGGTTTCGATAACTAATTTATCGCAGCTGGTAATACTGTTCAAACGTTGAAGAGAAGAAAAAGAATCAGAACAAATAAGGTACTTTGAGGATGTTGTCCCATGATCCTGGATCCATTTGACGGCAAGATAAATGCACAGAAGTTCTGCTTGAAAAACTGTACATTCATTCCGCATACAGTGTCTAAGAAAACAAATCTCGGAATGGCCTTCAAAAAGAACAAATGCAAGCCAACCTTGTTGTTCATCTTGCTGCCATCTGTAAAGAAAACCATATGAAAACTTATTTCAGCAGTCTCTTTATAATCGCAGAAATTTATGGGTTCTAAAGAAGCGGGATGAGGAAGATCAGTGAAGGGGACAATTCCATTAATACAGTCTTCCGAAGCATGAGTTGCCAATGACTCAAAAATATTATTCTTATATGCAATTTCAAAATCAATAGGCGGAACTCCTGCAAGAACAAAGGTAGCCTCATAGCTTAAGGTTCTATACCTCTAATAATACGAAGAATAATTCTCCGTTGAATCTTTCTTAAATTTCTTTTGTTAACCTTCTTGGCAAGAACATGTCCCCAAGCACGACAACCGTACGAAATGAAAGGTACAATACACTGCTTATACATGAGTTTCTTAACATCGTAGCTTACTCCAAAAGTATTTTTGGCAATTCGGTGAAAGCCATTAATAATTTTTTCACATTTAGCAGAAAGGAATTCAATGTGAATTTTCCATGTTAATTTTTGCTCAAGAATGACACCAAGATATTTAACATTTTCTACAAATTCCAACGGAGAATTTTCGATCATCAAAGAAGCAATATTTTGTTCATCAAACGTACTGGGAACAAGCATAGCTTTACGTTTTGAAGGATTGAAAGTGAGTTTATAAGAAATCGCCCAACTGGAGACAAAATCTAGAACTTCTTGTGTTCTCAAAAGAATGTTATTCAAAATCTTTCCTTGGACAATTAATAGTAAGTCGTCTGCAAACGCAATTTTTAAACAACCGTTGAGATGACTATAAAGGATGATAAAGGAGGGGCTGAAATTTTGGGAGCTAATTTTTACAAAACTTGGCAGTTTGGCATAATTTGCGTCATAGAATCGAATTATGGAGAAACGTTAGCATGTCATTTCAGAAAACGGCCGATTTTATGTCAAAATATCTATATTAAAACAATGCTACATATAAATATAATACATATTCTAAGTCGCTCTTTTGAGGCATGGAAAACGTTAAGTTGAATTTTATCAATCGGCCCAGTAGAACGGGAGATATGGAACTCATCCCCTTTTTCCTCTGCAGTGTATATGTCTTTTTTTCTAAAGATGCTGAGTTATAAATGGCTTTACGAAACAATATATGCAAAATGTTTTCAACAATGCTCTTGGGGATAAAGCAAATCCCAAATAATAATATTTAGTCGCTCGCTATCCCTACTGCATACGAAGCATTCGTAAGCAGTAGGAATACTCGTTTGTGTCTCCCGCAGACAGTTTTGCTTTAAGCCGACGATTTATGATAGTAGATCTTTCTTGTGATAGTCATTTAATTTTAGCATTGGATAACATACGTGCTGAGGTATTTCATTTACATGTTTAATATAAGTGATGTTCATATCATGTGTTTCGTATGTAATTTCCATCTATTTTACATGCATATAATTTCAAAAATATTCACACGGGAATAACTCTTAGCATACCTTCCCTTTTTGAGCCCTAGCACTTAACTTGAAGGACTAGTCCATTAGTCTAGTTCTCTCTACTATACAAGATATATTGGAGGCATGCACTTTAGGGCACCTTGATTTGAAAATAGTTCCGATAAATGCGCTTCTTATTCAACCTTATTCAGTGAACCAGAGGCCAAATTATTGGTAGTAAAGCAAGTTTTAAATTATTCCGCAATAAATTAATATTTTTTACGCAAGGCCCAATTAATCTAAAACTCGGTTAATTCCACTCTGTTAATCAGGAGTTGACTGATCTCAGTTAAATAACTTAATAATATTCTAAAAGCTAATTGCAATTACTGAACGCTGATTTAGAGCACGCATTCGCGATTTACTAGTGAATCAGCCAATTTCTGGTTTTCCGTGTTACCTATTTTGCATGCATACAATATGAGTGGAAATCAGAGGATTTTTAAGTACCGTCAGATTAAAAAAAATCTTATTAAGAACTTTATATAAAAGTAATTCAAAAATAAATGTAAATATGAAAATGATTTTGTGAATGTAACAGCAATAATTATTTAGGTTTTTTTCCCCTTAACACATGCCTTTTCGTTTAATTGTTTATTTAGACACCAGCTAATTTATCAAGTGCATCTGTTCATTTAATATCAAAGAACTAAGCTATTTTTTCGTTGTGCTTCAAAAATGAATTAACTGCATTTTTCTTTTTTTTCCAGAGGACAACCTCTCACTACTTCTCCATCATTTGCGCGCCCGCCAACTGCAGTTAATGATAGTTTTCATTGGAGAAAATCGCTGCCAAGTTTGGATTTGGAAAAAATAAAATTAGAGCAACTACTGTTTCTAGATACAAGAAATATACTGACGGCTATGATTCCAGCGAATGATTGTACTATATTTATTCATGTAACTAATGAAAAAATCCTGAAGAATCCAATATGCAGCAACATATTTCAGAGCTTAATGCAAAGCTGTTGATAAACTCCACTAGGACTAACAACTGCTTGAGGAATTGCAGGAAGAGGCCAAAGATTTTTCATTCTGAAATGATGTTTATAGAGTTTCATGAGATCTGTAGTATTTATACTGAATAATATTTTTTAGGAAAATAATGAGAGAATTAATCATACAGAGATGCCAAGCTGAACTTTACTAATGGTTGATTTTTCTACGGTGAAAGCTCTGAACTTGTGCAAAATAAACATCATTTTTAAATTTCTCTGGTGATTTCATAACGAAAAATGTTATTGTGTTGTACGATATTGTACTGTATTACAACCAAATGCCTGTGGACAACGCACGAACGTAAGTTTAAAGAAATAATATTCACATACAATGTTTTAAAGAAATATTTTACGTTGTTTTGTGTGAAATATGCTTTCTTGTTTCTTTAATGCAATGCTTTGGACATTTTTGTGAGAAGACGAACGGGAATCAATTATTGAAAGAATATAACTTTAGCCAAGCAGCAGAAAAACTATGTATGTACTCAAAGCGACGTTACACTTTAGACCCTCATTGTAGTTATCAGTCTGCGAGTATATGTGGAAGTTTCCTAAAATATTTCATCTGAATAAAGGAGTGCTGAATATTTAAGAAAATTGTACTGTTCGAAAGATTTGTATAAATGTTTTGTAAAAATTGATATATAAAACACTTTTCTAGATAAATAAAACTTATTTGCACGGCTATGTGTAAATTCTGTAACAGAGATTTTCTTTTAAATAAAGGAAAATAATGCACAACTCCATTTGCCTTACATACAAGTGGCTCCGCTAAACATTTTGAGTAAAATGTAAATCTAGAGAGCCTTTGCTTTTATATACTCGTTACCAAACGGAAATTATGTAACGTATGGAGTGTAAAAATATTACTGCGTCACATACACCTTTAAAAATATGTTGCATACAGTTGTAAGGAATTTAAGTGTAAGTTTCTGATGCTATCCTGTGCTTCTACCTATCAACATATCAGCCAGTAAGCTCTTTTCTTAAATGCGTATCTGTATCGCCACCAAAGGAGAGACTTCTAGAATGGACCAATGCACTTCCAGTAATATTTCTGTCATTTCCCATGAACTTTTCAGCTCTTTAAGCAAGATGGCTAAAAATATTTTGCCACGCAATTTCCTGTGCAAAATAATTAAAGCATCGTGGATTTCTTGTGAAAATTTTCAGTGTTAAGTTAGATCAAATATAAGCATAATTATACATGTAAATAGTAGAAGTCTTAGAATTTTTATTAGAGTCTTTATGAAAAAGGTGTTCCATAATAATAGCCAATGAACAGTTTAATACAAAGAGAACTTTGTTAATTTACATTTCTACGCATTAACTGTTCACACTTAAAGATATTTCTTGCACAAGAAATAATCTTGAAACACAATGAATTTATTTTATTCGCAACGAATATATTTAATTTATTCATGCAAAACATTTAATGATAACAATAGGTATAATCAGATCATTCACAATAAATATTTTGAACCTTACACTTTCAAAATCAAAAGAATGCAAGCATTGTGAAAAAAAATACTAGATTAATTGTAACATTTTCAGCTCAATAAATATATAGATATATATATACACTTGAATTCTCTCAATCCACAGGGGTTCGTAAGTGCATAATATTTTAAGCTAATTGCAGCTTGAGTCATTTTCTCCATATAAAGAGCAATAATATCCCACGAACATTGATCCGAATATCAGTGCGTAATAAGATTCGCGAAAGTGAAATTTTGAAGTTTAAATATACTTATAAAATGAAAGAAACACGAGATTATCTAATAAAATGATAGCAGGATTTATATGCCATACATTTATAACTACAAAACAAATACAAAATAAACCATATGCAAACAATATGCTCTCATCTGCACAGTTTCAAATATTCAGCATCACAAGAGCAATAGAAGCTCATTGGTGCATTTTTAAACGCGTTACTAATGTGCACTTGTGAATTATGCGCGCGGTAAGCTGAACACTTGATTCAATTTTGTGTTAGGGTATAGCGAATTTTCTAGAGATCACTCTTCAAAATTTCTAAGGTCTGTACGAGCTTACCTCAAAATACGAGTATATTGGACATCATTTTTGCTCTTAACTGATACCATATATTTTTTAATGACAAAATATACGTCGGAACTAAGAAAAGTGGCATTGCATCTTGCAGTTCAAAAACGTCGGTCTTGTAACTACCTTTCCTATACTACTGTAATACTATTCTGTCATATACTATTATAAATAGGTTCACATTCACAGTTAGTGATAGATTTAAGCGGACCTAAGCTGATGTTACGAATTTAGTATTCAGTAAAATCTTCAATCTACATCATTCATTCTACTTTTAGGAAACTCATTTGACTACTCCGCTAATTAAATTATATAAATGGTAAAATTAAACAAAAAAAATCTCATCCATATTCTGTGTGTTTAAGTCCACATCTTCTATTTTATGAAATCATATTCATCCTCTTCATGAATCATCAGAGAACGACAAATGTTTGCAGCCGTTCTGTTCTACAATGTTTGCATCTTTAACCAAAAATGGACATAATATAGACTCAGCTGCCATAACATACACGCTATGGCATGTTGAACATTTTATCTGAGTAGGCTGGCAGATGAGATTTATTGAAAATTTCTTATGTCACATGAAAAGAATCTCCAGTCAGTTCAAAGACTTTTTACGAACACGTTTCGTTTTTGGCTGGCTGTAAATTTTATTTCACACTACTGGTAAATAAACATCAATATATAATGTAAAAATTTCAAGCCAGATTTAATGGCACTTTCAAACTTATTGCCGTCGATAACTAATATTGCAGCCTTAACCTATGCTTTACATGATCCGCATGCCTTCTAACTTTGCAGATATCTGCGATATTTGGAAATTAGTACCGATTATAAGTCTACTATATCATTTGACGTGATACTGTGCACGTACACATTATTTGCGGTTAGGATAGTAAGTAATATGGTACTTTATACATATATATATATATATATATTAGCGGCATTGAATCAATTCAATTAGTTTCTAATTTCGTGCCATTTTCATTAATTTTTACTTATATTATTTTACTGTTTGCAGGATTCAAGCAACAACAATATACACTGCTTTTACAGCTTTATCTATTCCTTAAAATTTTACATTATAGTTAAGTTTACTTGGATCGGGAAATATATACTCTAATATAACCTATTTAAAAAAAATTCCCTTGTTAAGCTGTTCTAGATGTAATTTTAAATGTAAGAATTATTTATTTGAAGTTTAAAATTCAGACCCTTGGAAATCAACTATTCTTCAGAATTCAATCTAAAAGAGATATCAGAACTAAGAAAAATTTTACTATCCTAGATCATCTAAAGAAAACGTTGGTAATTTTTTTGAGAGAAAGAAAGCACTCATTTGTTCGTGAAATCTGATAGTTATTTATCATTATATCAAGTTCATTGAAGTAATTACTCAACAGCTTTGACAGTTGTAATATTTTAGACTTTTCATTGTATTTGTTCATTGGTAAACAGAAATAGTCGATATTCAGAAACAAGTTAAGCCTTCACGTAATTCCTGTAGCTAGAGAATGTTTCTGTATGATCTGGTTTATTTCTACTCTTTAAAATTCCAAACTGTATATTTTTTAGCTATTTGAGCATTATCTTTATTTGCATTAATTTCACAGACATAGTTTTTCTTTTAGAATGAACGTTCTTTGATAGGTGTCTCAACAACTTAAGTGATGAGGATAGGATTTTTTGAATCTTCTGAAAAATGTTTTAACAGTTTCGGTCCTTCCTGTTCTTACCAGGTTAGTTCCATCACTTTATATAAGCTCTTTCCATCTTGGCCTCGATATCACTCATCATCTCACGAGAATGGTGAATATAACGTGTATATATTTGAAAGCTTTGCTGCATGTCTTTTAAGTCAATATTGTGAACTGTCAAAGGATCTCATGACTTGGTGATCCGATTTGTCGTGGACCTGTGATGTAATATTAGACCATTTTGAATATTTTTTTTACATTTGGTGCGGCTATTAAATAAAATAATTTGTGCATTTTTATTGAAATAAATCCATGTCCAATTTTGGCTTCCTTGTTTAAATATTTTCTATATTTCTCAAAATGACATTTTGAGTTTCCTATCCTCTCTGAATTAAGCGAATACAAACAGTCACGCATTTTGAGAAATATCTCGAATAATTTTAAACTTAATTTTCATTAAAATTGCTTATTTTTTTCTAGTCACGTATAAAGTATGGAATCAGGAAATAATTTGCTCAAAAGTAGTCTTCTATATTTTGAAATTATCTAATAAAAATGTATAGTGAATTCTTCCTATTAAGACATCCCACAGTTCTAGTTGGTTTTTATCTTCTTTGAAGACAATCGTCTTAGAGATGCAATGTTCAATTCAAATATAGGGTTATGTTTCTTAAATAATAGGCATTTTCAGAAGTAATGCCGTAGGAAGGTAGTTACCATGACAAAATTCATTTTGTACGTAGATCACAAATCTGAAAACATAGGAGACTAAAAGTTCTTGAATAAGTCTATGTGCATATTATTTAAAAAACATAACCAAATATCGGGTTATGTTTTTTAAATAATAGGCATTTTCAGAAGTAGTGCCGTAGGAAGGTAGTTACCATGACAAAATTCATTTTGTACGTAGATCACAAATCTGAAAACATAGGAGACTAAAAGTTCTTGAATAAGTCCATGTACTTTAAGACCTTTCTTCGTAAATGCAAATTCGTAGGAAAGATGGTAACACAGGAAATAATTAACTGATCAAAATAGTATCCTA